AGTGTAACCTCATCAAAAATGATGGCTGCTAAATCAATTTGGATTTGAATTTAGCAGAGTTGTATTGTCCTGCGTTTCATTTATTTTATAGCTCTATTTCTGTGTTTTGTATCTCATACATCACTTTCAGGTGGTATCTAATACTTAGCAATCATATATAGGTATATCTAAATTAAACTGACGAGTGTTTAACTGATATTTTAAAGTTGTAATCTTCACTGTTGGAGATGTATGTTCTGTTTCAAAGGCAAATGAAGTTGGTTTTACTAGAACCCCTTTTTGGGGGTGGAGTGGACAACAAAGTTTTGTGTGTTTAGGACTTAATTATTAAAACTGGTTGGAGTGAGTGTATGTTGTGCATGATTTGATCCACAAATGTATTTATGCGCAGCTTTCTGCAATCGTGCCTTTTTCTAGTAAGAATTTTCATTCAAACTGTAGTAAGGCACGGATCTCCTCACTTAGAATACAACTCTTAGATGTCGATATTTGTTCGTATTTTGCAATGAAGTAAAATGATTCCTCTGTTTTGTAGTGCTTATAAGACCTGTCCTCTATGGGGGCCCTTCTACTGCGGAAATATAAACATATTCTGCTGCAAAGGCAGGAGATTTCTTGCATGATCTTTAGCAGAGGAGTGAACAGTAAAATCTAGCCAAGATGCTTTGCGGTGTTATTGAAAGTATAATATAGATATCTGTATGTATCTAAGATGCAGTCTTGGATGCTTTAGTGAAATAGTAAGTGCTAGTACTTCAATAAAAAGGCAAAAGCTGACTGTTTAAGACAGCTGGAATATTATTATTTTAAAACACTTTTCATGATCCATCTCCTGGATTACACTTAGGAGGCAGTGTGTTTTGCCTTCAGCATCTTCATGCCGTTCTTCTAGTACTGATTCATTTTATAAATCATGCAAACAAGCAAAAATGAGAAAATAAAGAGTTTGCCATGATGACAGCTCTGTTAATAGAATGGTTAAATAAAAATGGTCCTTCTGTGTGTATCGGAGGAGATTAGGACAAGCAGAAGAAACAGATAAGCCTTTTATCACAAAGACTAGACGAGAGCATGACAAACTTCGGAAACCAAAAGTTCGAATGTATTTCTTGACTGGAGAAAGATACTAGATACTGTGGTCACAGTGTCTGGGGAAAACAGATAAATCGGATTCAAATTTGCAGAACAAATGAAGTTAGTAGAATTGTCTTTGGAATAAGCAATGTAGTTGAGAAAACAGGTACATTTCCTAAACCTATTTCTTCACTTGTCCATTAAAACTTCTTTCTGTAATTTCAGTATGTTGCTGAAGTTTGCCTTCCTGTCTGTTGTTATTGAGGTCATTTTTTTTTTCTTTTGATTTTTATATTTTTTAAATACTCTGGGCCTCTTGAACTTTCTTTTCTCAGATTTGTTATTTTCTTTGTGGTCTTTGTTTTCCTAAAACTAGAAAAGATGCATTAATTGTGATTTTTTTTTTAAACACTACTGGCTTCTGGCCTTCCATTTGTGTTTGTTTTGTTTGCTTTTCTTTTTTTTTAAATATCACGTAATAATGAGAGAAGATATTTACAGGTAATTACAGACAGAGTATTATGTAGAGCCCTGGGTCAGTGGATCTGGCCTACTACATAATGAGATTGGATGTGCAGATCAAACCATTCCTGAGTCACTAAATTAAAATAGCCATTTGCAACAGAAACCCAAGTGAGTAAAACTCCAGAAATCTGTACTGGAGATGTCTGCTGTACACAGGAGCATGTGGGAGGGGAGATGATACAAAATAGCTGGCCAGAGTTTTTCATGTACTTTTGATTTTTATCAAAACTTGCTTCCTTTAGAATTTATTTCGGTTTGGTTTTGTTATTTCCAGCTATAAATCATGCTTATACTGTTAGAGGAAATTTATGCTAGCAGAGTTGAGAGATACAATAAAATTTTCTTCCTTTCATCTGTTCTTAAGGTAAAAGATGTTTTTTGTGTATGTTTTGTTTTATATGTGTTTTTTATAAAATAAAGACTTCTGACAGTTTTGATCAGGTCTGGGCTGGTATCTTGTTGTATTTGAGCTATTTGAAGCTTCCATTTGTGTATCATTGAACCTTCCAGCTACTTCTTTGGATGCCAAACTCTGAATGCCATCAGGGCAATAATCAATGTTGTTGGTATAAGTGTATCTCTGAACTTCATTCGGACTTGGCTTCTCCATTTGTAGATTCCTAGGCATGTGGATTCAAAAACTGAGCATCTTGTAGCTGCTTTCCGGATTGATTGTCAAAAGCTTTTGCGACTCAAGTTGCTGAGACAGAATTGTAGGTAATGCTGTAATACCAGTAACAGCCAGAGATTACACAAAGCCTTCCAACTAGGTGTGAAGGTACAGTAAAAAAAAAAAAATACTTTGCATCTGCTAGCCAGAGATTAAAAGAAAGATTGACAGTGACCAATTGAAGATTCCTAAAAATTAAAAAAAAAAATAAAAAAAGTAATCATTTGTGTAAGTGACTGTTGGTTGGTACTGGGTGCCTTGCTGTTGTCCTTATGCTGCTGCACCAAAACCTCCAGGTGTGTGAAAATTTCCTTGTGAATTCAGCGGGCGGCTTCAAGAACATTTAGAGCTTTTGCTTTATAAACTGTTGAAACGATTTGGGGTGATAATTTGCTAGCTAAGAGCTACCATGAAGTCCCACTCACATGAAGTTTATTGAATGGTAATCTATTGCATAAATGACTGTGATTAATGACATGGATTAGATTTATCCTAGACCTCTTTAATCAGAAAGATGTTTTAATCTTTTGCAGTGATTTTTTCCCTATGTTTTTCAGTAGCATCATCCAGCGTTTTAGCGAGTTATCTTGTTTGTTCTTTCTCTGATTTTTCATGTGGGAGGTGATCCAGGTGATGATTCCCAGTAATCTTTGCACCTTGGCCTTGGCCACAGGAAGAAGCAGTGTTTTATGTTGTTGGATTTTCTTATCTTCCTCTGTATATCCTGACGTGGGATTTCCTTGGTTTTACCTAATGCGTGTAATCTGTTTCAGGAGAAGGGAATGCAAATAGGATAAAACTGTACTTTTCCTGATAGAAGTTTGACCTGGCAAAATGACTAATTGTTACTCTGCAATTTATACACATTATCCATTTTAGTGCTGCCATGTAAAGTGGCATTAACATTTGCACAGTACAATTCAGCTACTACATGTATTTGCAATGCTCTTTCATCTTAGTGCTGTTAATAAACTGTGAAGAAAGGTGTATTTAAATTATAAAATTTTATTTTCTGAAGGCATCTGATGTACCTAAACTGAAGCTTTTGGGGAGGCTGAGGAGTTATTCAGCTGCTGTTAGCCCTGTTTTTTTCCTGGATCTTGCTGCTTCCTAGCAGTGTGGCAGGACAGGATGGGATTCTGCTTCTCATGCGCCGCAGTTCTCAGTCCACTCTATTACTTTAAGCTTCTTTAGCAGTCTCTCTAACAACGTTGCAGATTATCAAGACTTCAAAATGAAGCTTCTCTAAGCACAGATATATGTGGCTAGGGTGAAAAAGTCTAAAGTCTTAAACAGATAACTATTGCTCTTGGTCGTGTAAGAGCTGTAGTAATCTGTGTCTTTTCTGCATGCGTTTGTCATGTAAAAAGACGGCGAGATGATGCTGAAGCTACAGATAAAATCACAGGGCTCTTGAATAGATACTTTAAAATATTTGTAACTTAACTTGTAATCATATTGCCGAACACGTTATAGGAAGATGAATGTTAAATGTGCTCTGCAATTTGAATACATCTAGACTCCCAATAGCTCTAATATTTATCTCTTTTTAAGTGAAAATGCTTTATAGGTATAGAGGCTTAACTCTTTTTTTGACTGTTGTTAGTTCATATCCATCTGTTATCTTTAGCATAGCAAGAAGAAAGGGTTGTTGTAGTAAAATAAGATGGTAATAACTTTGTAAAAAGTTTGACTAGCTTTTTTCTTTTCTTTTTTAAATCTTTAGGAGATCCAGTTTTAGAGCTGTGAGGAAGCTATTACCACTTACCTTAAGATAATCAAACTAGTTTCCAGGTAAGTAACATATTTTTGATTTTCTATAGATTAAAAATTTTAAAAAAGGAGAAAAAAAAAAGAAAAAGAACTGAAGGAACAAAGTTCAAAATTTCACATAAATTTTCTCTATACCTCACTAAGCCAAGTTGAAAATGCCTTTCGATATTTTTATGGATAATACATCTTATATATGTGTTTCTTTCTGCTTCCTGTCAAATATGACTTTTTTCCTAGAAAAATACCTGACTCTGAGAACCACCCTTAGTTAATCTAAGATGGACAGGATGCAGAGGCCGATGGGGTTATTTTATTTTGGGGGATAAAACAACATTCACTAACATGTCTTCTGATTTGGTGTTTTTATATGACTTTTACTAGTAAATAGTGATTGAAAGTAATTTAACACCTGTATATAGTCGTCTGCATTGGAAATCTCTGAAAAACTGGTAATGTTAAATACGATAGGCATTACGTTTTGTGAAGCCAAGGGTAGACAGTTGGCAGAAATGCCTCCAGGAATACACATTTTGCCCAAAATCTTCTAGTGCTTCCTGAACTTGTGTAATAAAGCATCAACTGGTGTAATTCATGTAGCAGTTGATAAACCCTTTCCAGGCTGGGCTCTGTAATGATTTGCTAATATTTGCTAGTATGCTATTACAGTTGTTATCGTTGCAAAAAGCTTGGCAGCTTTTGCAGTCCTTGCGGTCCAGACCTGTGTTACCTGTATTACGTATCGCAGAGTTGCACTGTTGGTGCCTCTGTTATGTTGGGTAGTGCTAGGACAGCAGCCTTCTCTTTTCCTGCCCTGCATGGCTTTGCGTTTCTTCTCTTTCTCTTTCCTGTTGTTTCTTATCTGTCTCTTTTTGGGCATTTCTCTATTCTCTGTTACTGGCTACATA